CTAAATCTCGACAATTTTCCTCCGTCGAAGTGTGGATGAGTTCTTAAATCTCAACAGAATTATCCTCCGTTGAAGTACAGACAGTCCTAGATCTTGATGAAGATGTTTCCCTCAGTCGAAGTACTGACCGGTTCTTAAATCTCAACTGAATAAGTCTCGGTTGAATTACAGATAAGGTTCTAAATCTCAGTAATTTTCCTCAGTCGAAGTACTAATCGGTTCTTAAATCTCAACTGAATTATCCTCGGTTGAATTACAGATAAGGTTCTAAATCTCGACAGATTTCCCCCCAGTTGAATTACAGATAAGTTCTTAAAACTCAGCAGAGATGTTCTCTCAGCTGAAGTACATGCAAGTTCCTAAATCTCAACAAAGATCAGGCTTCCCCAGCGGAATCTTCCACAACAACAGGTATGCGAGATCTCGCTAAGGAATCTCTTATGCGATCGACACTCCTGCAGATGGCATATTTAAGCCCATCCTCCCGTCTTCAATCTCCAAATGGCATCTGTAAGCCCATTCCCGACATCACAAGGCTGATACCACTTCATGCGAGTGCAAATTTCTGGGCACTCTGGTGTTCAATCATCTTCCACCTTCGGATCACGAAAGGCACGAAAGCCAATCTACATCCTCAGATTTAAGAAGATTGAACAGGGGCAGCTGTTGTACCCCAAAATTCTCCCTCCCATATTTCTCAAAATATTGCAAGAAAAATCTCTGAGTTGCTCAAGGTGGCTCAAGAGTTGGTCAGACAAGCTCTCTCCTAAGGCAGTCTACCCTTAATTAGGATTTTGTGTTGCATCAAGATACTTGAGTCCAAATGATCTAAAATTCTCCCTAATGTCCTAATATGTTCTCAAGATCATCCATGTCAAATTTCAAGCCTTGCAGAGGAAGTTTGCTCAGTCAATTGCTCAAAGGTCCAAAAAATCGACTGTGTTAGGGCAAAAGTCAACTGTGACCCAAATACAGTCAAACTTCAAGATTTTTGGTCAAAATCCTAATTTTGAAGTATATTTCATCATTTGATCAAGGGTTTATCATGATTCCTCAAGGATTGCTCACAATTCATCAAAACCCAAAAGTTGCTAAATTCGGGTTTTGTAGGAAAAGTTAACTCAACTTTGACCAAGCATAACTTTCTCATACTTTATGATAAATGACCCATCCAAAGCTCATTTTGAATAGGATGCAATTCCATACAATCCATATTCATACCCCAAGATTAAAATATGCACTCACAAGAAGTTATGAATTTGGACATTATAGGTCATTTTGAAAAGTCACCAAAAATACCTTTTTTGTCAAAGCTTATAACTTGAGAATGGAATATCAAAATGAGATGAGACAAAAATGGTTGGTTAGAGGACATCTCAATATTTCTAAAAAGTCCAAGAACACCTCCAAAGAGTCAAAATTGAGGTAGTTATGCATTGTTAAAGTTGGACAATTTTTGAAAAAATGCATGAAGCAAATATTGACCAAACTTGGATTTTTTCAAAATGGGCCTATCTTTTCAAGTTTGAAACTCATTCCTAACATGGTCCACGACCTCTAAGCCCACCCATACATTTTTCTACTATTTATGCTATTTATTTTGATATTTTATTCATTAAAATTCAGAATTAAATAAATAAATAATAGAAATAATGTAAATTTTGATGTGAATCCATTTTGGGAAAGTTTTATGCTGGTTTATGTCAATTGATTTCATGCAATAACTTTTCAAATATGTCCAGGTTCATTCACATGTGAAAATGGCATAAAATCATCAAATATGACATTTTTTTCAAATCTTGATCATGGTCTTAAAACACAACATTATGAGGGAGATTCTTTCCATACTTTCTTGTCTCCTCATTCTCCTCTATAAATATAGAGCCATACAAGCTTGAAAGGGACGAAAATCCTCTCTAAAAAGCTCTCAAAAAGCTCTTCAAAAAGCTCTCTAAAAGCTCTTCAAAAAGCGCTCCAGAAATCAAAGAATTGGTGCAAGTCATATCTCGAGGTTCCGGTCTCTCTCAATTGATATCAAGCCTCAAACCATCCTCTTGAAGTCCTCAAGAGTCCTTCAAGGCCCAAGAACAATCCATCACACGCCTAGCACACCCCCATTTGACGACACCGGTTTGGTAAAAATTTAAATTTCGAATCTCTAATTTTAATCATATTTTATGGTATGCTAACATTTGCTTGAGTTTATATAGAACAGTTATGGATGTTTGAATCATAGGTACCACGCAAGAATAAAAAAACACCATAGTTAGAGCATGAAGCTTTCGAAGATTCAGGCCTAGAGATTTCTGATGACGCACCCCCACATTGCAGGCCCAGTTTGCTTTTCTCTAATTCTTTTATATTTATATTATTTTATTTATTTATTTTACTAACCCATCAAATTATTTTCTTTTTTATCAAAAAATCACAAAACATTTTTCTATCCAATTAAATTCAAGATATTTATTTTTATTATAAAAAAGTAATTAATTTAATTAGGTTATTAATTATTAGACAACTTTAATTTCTTTTTTACATAATTAAAATTAATTAGAATAAATAGGTTTTATTACTAACTTAATTATTTTATTTCTTTCCTAAAATAAAAAAAACCCAAAAACATGTCATTTAGTTATTTTCATTAATTAATTTAATAACCAATCAATTTTGCATTTAATTTAAAAATCTAATTTCTTTTCTTAAAAAAATAGTAAAAACAACAAAAAAAAGCATTTTCTTTTTTTAGGATAGAAGGGTCAAAACCCTATTCTCTCGTCAATCTAATTTTTAATCGCGCGCTTTATTACTATTTTGCCCAATTATTGTATCTGCCACAGTTTGTAATAATTTAATTAGGACCGCTTTTATTATTTTTATTATTTTTACAATATTTAATGTAACTGCTCATGGGATGTAATAGTTTAATTAGGACGTTTATTCTACATTTATCGCTTTTATTTTCAAAGGGTTGCTTTTGGCGATGTAAATACCCGACGCCTTGTAATAGCTTAGTTTAATTTCCGCACCTTTAATTTTTGCAAATATTCAACTGTTAGATGTTTGATAATAGGGCTTGCATGACAAGAATGAATGCCTAATTTAAAAAACAGTTAGATCACCATTAACATGTACAAAGATAAAAATAACTGAAAACGACCCACTCGCACATGCGCACTCTTAGGGTACACCCCACTTGGTTGTCTTCGTACACAGTCATTGAGTATAGGTCACTTTAGAGGTCGTCCTCTTGTCTAAAAGATCATAGTCGCCTCGAAACGGTTGCCTCAGATATTGTTGCCTCAAACAAATGATCTAAGACATTAGGGTTACCGCTAAGGCGTCCTAACATTGCTTTGGTGACCGTAAGTCCCTCATTCGAATTGACCCTCAAACTCCAACGACGGTGCTACCTACTCACTAATAGTGGGATAACATTGTCTAAAGGAAATTAGCATAGAACAATTCCTTTTTTGAGTAGGTAGGTAGTTCTTAGATACTTGCTCATCCAAAACGAACTTTTTCTCACACTTACACTCCTTTTCAAACAAAGTTTTCAAAAACACTTCATTACACTCTTGAGGACAGAAGCAAGAGTTAAATCGAAGTTAAAACAAACTTTTCAAAGTCCACAAACACAAAGAAAACAATTTTGAAAATGATGAGCAAGTACCTAAGAGCCCGTAGATAACTACAGATAGAAAGTGTGTTAATACCTTCTCTTTCTATAATCTACCCCCCGTACTCAGAAATATCTCAAAAAAAGAATTTTTCTGTGCTTTTTTCCTTTCCTTGTTGGATAAAATAAAAGACGGTGGCGACTCTTGCTTACCGCGACATTTTGCGAAAACAAACGCAAAACGCAAACCAGCATTCCAAAAACAGTCAGTTTTTCCCACCGTATCACAACACCCACACTTTCATGTGAAAAATTTTCAAAAGTTAAAACACTTTGTACGCGTTCTTATAGAAACGAGAACCATTACAAAGAGACCTTTTTAAAATCACTTTCAAAAATACATTCCACAAACACCTCTTTGATCTATTTTCAAAACAACACTTTGTACGCGTTCTTATAAAAACGAGAACCATTACAAAGACGTTTTCAAAATACTTTCAAAACCCACACCACAAGCACATCTTCAAACAAAAGCAAGTGATCTAGCAAGCAACTAAGAGCCCGTAGATAACTACGGATGAAAAGGGTGCTAATATCTTCCATTTTCATAACTTACCCCCCGAACTCAAGAAATAATCTCAAAGTTCTTTCCTATTCTTTTCAAACTTTTCTTGTTGGATAAAAGAAAAGTCGGTGGCGACTCTTGCTATCCACAAAAATTGCGATCAAATGCAAAACACCCAAGTCAGTTCTCCTACCGTGTTACACCAACATTGTTGTTGGGGTCGGCGAGGTGGGCGTTTTGGTTATTATCCACAGCTTGGGCGGCCATGACAATCACGTAGTTTGGTGAAGAGTTGCTTTGGTCTAAAGATGGAGACGGGGAAGCTGGATTCCCACAGATGCCGCCACTGGTCGTACCTGATCAGAATGGATTGTTTAAGCCCACAAGCTTTAAGTCGAGCAACAGTTGGATGTGAAATGGGGGGGGGGGGTACCTACAAGACACTTTGATGCCAAAGTGAGGTTCAAAGCAAATGCAAGCAAGTATGAGAATATGAGTGAGTGATTGAATGAATACCCGACCCTCTTAAGTGAGAGGGTATTTATAGCCCCCAGCGTTGGGCCAAGGTCTTCAATGATGGGCCACGATAAGGTCTAACAACAAAGACTACCAGGGTTTACGTGTGTATGGAGTCCAGCATGTGGCCTCCTCTTTGGTCAACTGCCCCGAGAAAGCAGGAGTTGGACTCGTTATTCTCAGAGGGCTGGATGATAATGATATGGACACGTGAGCTACGTTCTCCTAGCGAACACTTTGGGGAATACCCAACGGTCCTTAGATTGGGCTGCATGCTTTTGTGCCTTTGGTAAAGACGCCGGATTAGGCCTCCCCAACGGTGGGCAAGTGTCGGCTCAGTCCAGAACAAGCACCCTCAGCCAGATTATCTCCCTCAGCAAGATTATCACTCTCAATTGCATTATCTACCTCAACATCATCATTATCATAAATTGGTCCATCATGTTCCAACTCTGCCTCATCTACTATATTAGGGATATCAACACCATGCTCAACATAGACATCAACCAACTCAAATTCCTCAACATCTTTTGCAATTTTTAGTACATCCTATCATTTCCTATAGGTGTAAGACCCCTAGCAAAGCTAAACTTAGGATTTACATACCAAATACACTTCATACTTGTATATTCCACCTGATGAATCAATTTCACCAGCTCTATGTAAGACATATAATCAACATCACATGCCCAAGTTGTTTCTGTTACAAAGTCATCCATATACCATTTAACAGGAGTGTGAACAAGTGTACCCCGATGGTGAATTCTTAGCCTAACTTTATGTTCAGTAAGTGACATGTATAAGACAAGTTTTAGGATTAGGATTTCAGATTAAACAGTTACGGACTTACACACATTGGGACCACAATCAACTATTAGGATAAACAATTAGGGTTACAACACGTTGGGACCACAAACAAAACATTGAGAAGAAGACACATTGGGACCACATACGTAGACATAAAAATAAAAATTCATACATGAGACAGAACTTGTCGTCTTCGTGCGTTTTGGATGAAGGTGATGGTTCATACATTGCAACACCAGAATAAATTTTCGTGCGTCTTTGATTCTTAAACTTAACAATTTTAGGGTTTCCTTTGAAGATGACGAACGAAAATGGTGGAATGATGAGCGAAGACAATTGATGAGTTAATAAATTATTTTTTTCTTTTAAATTAAATAAAATGTTTATGAAAAAATAAAATATTAAATTATAAATTAAAAATAAATAATAAATTGATTTTAATAACACTACAAGTTATTGGACAAATCTTAGAATGTCATGTTATTAAAATAGCTGATAAATGATGAGGGACCATAAAAAATTCAAGTTAACAAATATTGGGGAACCTATTTTTTCATAGGGGACAAGAATGTTTAAAAAAAGCAATATTAATAGACAAAAATACATTTAAAGCAATAAAATAGACAACTATGGTATTTTACTTTCCATAATCACAATTCACAAAGAAAACAAAAACACAATAAATTCATTAATTATCATTTTACTATATTCATTAAAAAACAAACATTTAAAATTAATTATTACTATTAAATTAACAAAGCAAACCAACTCATCATCATCATCATCATCATTTTATAATGAAAAAACGCCAGAAGTGGGCATAAATAAGATAGGTATGAAGATTTGCAGGTTGAGATATCTGCTTTCTCTTCGCAAATGCAATTCTCAAACCTTCCCACCAACAACACCACGCACTTTCTCTTCAACCAGTCATCACTTGCAGGTGAGGTCTCAGTACTCTGTTGTGATGATCATAATCACCACTACACAAAACTCGTATTTCTTAACATGCCCTTTTTCTAAACCCTTCTTTTTGTCTCTTATACCATGCAAAGCTTGCATCTTTCATACTAATTCTTATCTGGGTACTTCAAATTTTATTCAATTCATAATTGTAATGACTTTTCTTATGTTTTTTTCATTCTTCCCTTTTGGGGTTTTGTGTTTATCTCAAAATGAGTATTTAAAGTGATTGGTTTTGCTTTTATAAGTTGATCAATTTTACTATTTTCAGTTGTTGTGATTGTGTTGAAAGACCATCAACTGTTTTGTAAATTTACTATACATTTTCAGAGGCTCATAGCTGATGATACTGTCTATGATTTCTCTTCAGAATGTTGGATTCATTGGCCTTGGAAACATGGGATCACGGATGGCGAATAATCTAATCAAAGCTGGATTCAAACTTACAGTTCATGACAAGTAATGTTTTAAACCCTTTTCTTCAACTTAATGACCATGCATGCCTTGTGAAGTTTCCTTTGTAGCTGCAATTCATATGATATAGATATTTGGTTGGGGTAATGAGTGTGAATGTGTGCTTCTTATGAGAAGTTTGAATATGCACTAATAAAATGATTAGGCCGTTTCATCTTCTTTAATTTCGAAGGAATGTGTATGGTGTTAATGTACCACCCACGCTTTAGATTGATCACGCTTTCTGACACTAATACATCCTTTAATTACACTTTTGATGTCTTGAATTATTTCTTTAATTTCATACTGAGTTTATAAAATTTTGGCAGAAACTCCGATGTTCTTGAGATGTTCTCTCAAATGGGGGTTTCCACGAAGAAAACAGCATATGAAGTTTCAGAAGCAAGTGATGTTGTAATTACAATGTTACCTTCTTCAGCCCATGTGAGTATATTCAATCCAGTGTTGTTTCCTTTCCGTTGAATACATCACATCATTTGTTTGTAGATTCAATTTCCTCTATAGTCCTGCAACAATTTTTTGAGCTATGATTGCGATTAAAGATCCTTGATGAAGAAACAAAAATCTTAGATTGCAAGTTTGGATGAATTTTTTTACTGTATTAGGATACCAGAATAACTTCCTTTTATAATTTAAAGTAGGTGATTGATATTTATACTGGACCAAATGGTTTGCTTCATGGTGGGAAACTCATAAGGCCGTGGTTATTGATAGACTCATCCACTATCGATCCACAAACTTCAAGAAATCTTTCTGCTACAATATCTAATTATATTCTAAAAGAAAAGAAAGGTAACGTAAAATACAATTCCGTCTACATTTACTCGAATCGGAATTGTGAATTTGCTATTCTTTCTAGCACCATAGAACTTATTTATATCATACACATTAGCAAGTAATTGGTCGTTCAAGAAAATTCCTTGACAATTCCTTCACAATACTATGCTGAATTATTTATTCCTTTTAATGTTGTGGTACTGAATGGTTTTGCATTGTGTAGGTGATTGGGAAATGCCTGTCAAGTTGGATGCCCCTGTATCTGGAAGCATAATTGCAGCAGAAGCTGGAACACTTACTTTCATGGTAATGCTTCGCTTCTGTTTTAAGGCATGCATGACACCAACACACCCTTAGTAATCATTCTAGGTTTAAAGACCGTGCATTTGATCATGGGAACCAGAAGAATACTAGTATGATAATCACATGACATTGTATGTTACGCCTTGTATGATAATCACATAACATTTCCAAAACAGTTGCAGCAAAGTTTTCTTGTTTATGGCAAAAAAAATAGTAATGAACAAGATATGGATTTTCCCAGGTTGGTGGCTCTGAGGAAGCACTTCTCGCCGCAAAATCCTTATTCCTTTCAATGGGTAAAAGTACAATATATTGTGGAGGAGCAGGGAGTGGTTCTGTAAGTAACATGCTTAAAATTGGGATAGGATTATTAACACTCTTGGTTGCTATTGTAAGTTTATATATTGTCCCTGGTTTTTGTTATTAGGCTGCAAAAATCTGTAACAATTTGGCTTTGGCTGTGAGCATGCTGGGAATATCAGAAGCCCTTGCTCTAGGCCAATCTCTAGGTGTTCCTGCTAGCTCCTTGACAGAGATATTTAACTGCTCCAGCGCTCGCTGTTGGAGTAGGTAAGCAGCTCTTCTCTCCCTCAATTCAGCGTGACGATTAGCTGCAGGACTATAGTGTATTTTAGATTTAATACTTTAGTACTTTGGTGGTAAAATTAGTAGTTAATTGTTGCATTCTTACAGTGATACATACAACCCGGTTCCTGGTCTGATGGAAGGGGTGCCCTCTTCAAGGGATTACAATGGAGGATTTGCATCTAAGCTTATGGTAAGTAACTGAGGTTTAACTCAACTTTCAATTGTTCTTGTTTATTTGGTTGATAATGATGTACATGTACTCTTTTTCTGTTTATTTCTTTTATTTGAATGGATGCTTCAGGCCAAAGACTTGAACCTAGCCGTGGAGTCGGCTAAGCTGGCTGGATGTAAATACCCATTAACATCTCACGCTCAAGAGATGTAAGTTCCCTTTCTTGCATAAGCTTAAAGTATGCCATGACAAGTATCTTGCTGTTAATACATGTTAATACATTGTGAGACTGTGGTTCTTCTTAACCTAATACTGAAAATTTTCAAGAAATTAACGTGTTTGTGAAGCTTAAGATGCAAACACACTTTTCACTAGGAAAAAAAAGGACTTTTAAAGAACTTTTCTATTGCAACCTTGTCATAAATACATCCAACAGTGTGAGTATTATTACAAATTTGTTTACCAATGGGCTTTGTTTTGCACAGATATAAAGAGCTATGCAATGGAGGCCATGATGCAAAAGACTTTTCATGTGCATTTCGTCATTATTACTCAGGAATGGATGAACCTCTTGACTCTTAGAAAGAAGCAGACTTCGATTGTTGGTTTTGAGAAAGAGGCAAACTTTTCTATATTGCTTCTTTTTAAATAAAATACACTCTTGGTCCTTATATAGACCCAATTACTTTTACAATTCAGAAAAGATAACTGCTACTAATAAAAACTATCATAACTTACTAACTTTTGACCTTTCAAATTACATTGGTTCTTAATCTTCCTACTACTTTATTTAATATGAAAACTTATTACTAATGACATTAAAGTTTACTCAACAAAACTCCCCTGTAAACTTAAATTTTTCTTCCATCCAGCATTCCTATCATCTTCTTGCCTCTGTAGAAGATCTCTTTCGATAGTCGTTTTATGAAAATATTCGCTGCTTGGTTTTTGCTTGCTACATGCCTCAATTCGTCACTTCCCTCCTTCACATGTTCACGAATGAAGTGAAATTGAACATCAATGTGTTTGCTTCGTTCATGATTCACTAGATTCTTTACCAATTCGATAGCTGATTTATTGTCCACTTGTATTATTGTTGGACCTTCCTATTTTAGCTTCATCTTGCTTATCAACCTTCTAAGCCATACTGCATGACAGACGCACCACGATGCTGCCACATATTCAACTTTACACGTCGAAAGTGTTACTATAGATTGCTTCTTCGATAGTCAGGTAAATGTTGTGTTTTTCATGAAGAACACATATCCAGAAGTGCTCTTTCGATCGTCTATGTCTCCGCACTAGTCACTGTCAGAATAACCAACTAATTTGTAGTTTTGTGTTTTTGAATAAAACATTTCTAGTGATATTGTTTCTTGGATGTATCTTAGAATTCGTTTCAGTGCCTTCCAATGTGTGTGTATTGGCTCCTCCATGAATCGATTTACAATGCCAACACTTAGTGAAATGTCTGACATTGTGCATGTGAGATATTGAAGGCTACCTACTAAGCTTTGATATTTTCTTCCTTTAACCCGTTCTCATCCATCAAACTTTGACAGTTTCGCACCTGGTTCCATTAGCGTCGAAGTTGCATTGCAATTCTTCATCTTATATTTTTCTAGGATTTCCTTTTCATATTTTTCTTGTGAGATAAAGATTCCAGCTTCTTCTTGTCGAACCTCCAGACCAAGAAAGAATCTCATCAGACCTAAGTATGTCATTTCAAATTTGCTTGTCATGGTGATCTTGAAATCTTCGATCATATGAATATCACTGCCTAGAAAAATAAAGTCATCAACATAGAGAGCAATAAGTAATACATTACTTCCATTTTTCTTCACATATAGGGCAGGTTCATAAGGACATTGCTCGAACCCATTCTCTTTGAAATATGTGTCAATGCGTGTGTTCCATGCCCTAAGTGCTTGCTTTAGTCCATACATTGCTT